CAGTTGTCGTTCAAGTTGGTTCACGCTTCATCCTCATCGGCTACTTTAGAGCTCGCCGTTTCTCGTTAATTACTTTGGAGGTTATGAGGATGCCTTTAATTTCTGTCTGTTTCTTTCTTCGTTGAACTGCCCCCTGTTATGTTCAATCTTCAACGTTTTTTTTATTTCTTGATTGTTAATCATGTTATTGAAACCCATTATCTGTATCTGTTTCACTCGTTCTTCCACTTTTTTGTCTGATGAAATTTCACTTTTCATCTGGAATTCGATGATTTGATGATGTTTCTTTGATTGTTTTGGTTGACCCTATATCCCACGGTCCTTCATGCTCTGTTCATAAGTTTGTAGGCTTCTTGTTCTTGCATGTGTGTGTATATGTCTCAGCCATCTATACTCTAGTCTAATCAGATTGAAGAACAACTTAAGGGCTTTTTTCTGCAACGGTTGGTGAAGAAATCTGGACTTTTTTTTTTTTTGGGGAAAAAAGGGTCAAAACGGAAAACCCCACCATTAGTGTTAGGAATGGGTATTAGGTATTTGTTGGTACTGTTCTTTTCTCTAACATATATGCTTTTTCTATTCCGCAGGACAAGGCTTAGTGGGAAGGAATTGATTATCACTCAAGTGGATTTTAAAACTAGAGTTGCAGAATAGCTGCATTAAAATATGGGAAAGCAATTACTTTCTTCCAATTCCACTGTTCAATTTCAGAACGCCCATGGATGCATGTGGGGTATATTTCATATGCTTGATTACCATCGTTGGCATAACGTTAAAAGGGTCTTTCCTCACAAAAGGCATTACTTGGGAAGACATGCGAGACGTAAGCCCTTTTCCGCTTTCCATTCTTTATTCTTCTTTAGCCATAGTTCCTTGACAGTTGCTCAATTCACTATTAATATAAAGAATTAAGGGTGTCTAAATGCTTCACTCATCTCTATTACCTCTCTGCAGATTATAAGAGAAGGAACGCTTTGTCCAATGACAGTGATAGTGAAGCGCAGCAATTTGAGAGTATGGATGTTAAACCCCTACTGGTACTTTGTGATAACCCTTTTCTGACTTGAGATGATGACATGAACGTTCCTTAATTAGACAATATGTACTTACAGAACTAAATCTGATGACTTACAGGTTAGGCAACGTAGCAAAAAAGTCACTGCAACTGGCAAGAGTTCTTTCAGAAAGAGGAAAACAGGATTGCATATTGAAAGTAGGTCCAAGAAGAAAGTTCCAAAGATGGGATCTTAAGCTCACGTAGTAGGCCACAGGATTTTGAGTCTTCTGATGAATCTGCAGTAGAAACTAGTAAACTTGGAAGGGATGTTTTCAGTAAGTTTAAGGAGCATGCTGATGTTGTGGAGGTTTTCAGAGCAGAAAAAGATTTTCTCCTGAAATTCTTAAGAGATCTGGATGTGGACGCTAAAAGCTTTCAAAGCAAGAAAGCAAGATTGACAAAATCAGGGTCATTCCCCATAGCAGCATCTTCACAAATGCGGAATCTTAAATCAAGAAGTACCATCAAACACAAGCAAACAGAAATTTGGGCCTTTCCAAAGGGAGAAAAGTTGCTTGCTGGGACTCAAGCACTAAAAATGTTTGCAAAAGATGGTGCTTATATGAAAGAAGTGCCATTAGTGGGTGATTATGATATGGACAGTGCTATGAAACAAACAGGATTTGCTTTGTCAAGACCTTCAAATGGATTAAATCACAAACATAAAGGGTGGAATCAACTGGTTCTTCATCGTTTCAAAGTCATAAAGCAGAGGATAAAACATGCTCTTATGGAATTCACAAAAAATGGTTATCATACTTCTCTCGAAGCTTTCCGCCGTAGAGTTTCGTATGAAAATAGGCTTGGGAAAGAGGTGTCACAGAGTTTAGAGGATGGCGTGATTGAGAATGTAAGTTCAGATGAGATTAAGGCCCCTGATTATGACTCCAACAGACGTGAAACTCCCCTCGTAAGAAGAACATCTTCTCTAAATGAATCACTGGATAAATATACTCAATTATTTGAGCGAAGTTTTGGCAAAGACGTCAAGTGGCATAGCTCAAAGTCCAAGAGCTTAAAAGTCACAAATGCAGATAGCAATCACACAAGTGGCTATGCTCCAAAGTTGACCAAAAGGAACTTGTCTCTCCCTAATATTGAGTCCATAGGCTTCATTCTTCATGAGGCCATTTGCGATGCAAATGATGCAGGGAGTATTCCAGCAAACACTTCCTTGGATAATAACAAAAAAGAAGAAACTGATATTCCTGTTAAACGAAAATCAGCAAGCCTTCTTGTGAGCAAAGACAAACCATTCGGTGATATAATCGAGACTGAAGTCAAGGAAGAGGATGAAAGTAGTGGGAAGGATGAGACTCCCAATGCTTTACCCCATTCAGCTGCCGAAAATGGAAGTTCCTATCAAGAAAATGCAGAAATAGAAGTGACTACGGATTGTGGCAATGATATGATGGACATTCTTGAAGCTAGCAGTGAAGACAATGCAACCGACAATACAAGAGGTAATAAATATATGTTCATGTGTGTGAAGATGATTATTTTTTAAGATTCTGTTCTATTTTGTTGATGAATATAATATCAAATTAAACATGTTTGATTGAAAGAAAAATTGAAGTTAACTTTTCGCTCAATTGGTTAACTCATAAACAGGCACAGAGAGAGATACAAGAGGCTCTAGCGTGAATGATATGGAGGCAGATTTACAGAAAATAGAAAGCAGATACCCTTTGGAAGCAAAAGGGATGAACAGGAACAGTGACAGCTATTTCCTGCACTTGGAATCAGATATAATAAATGATTCAAATTTCAAATATGTGAAGCACATTATTGAGCTTTCAGGCTTCATGGAGAATGACCATACTCAAATGTGGTACACAGTGAACCAACCGCTAAAGCCCTCCTTGTGCAAAGAAACTCAATGCTTTGGAGAAGAGATTGGCAAACCAATTGATCATCAGCTTCTTTTTGATATAGTGAATGAGAGTTTGCTTGAAATATATGAAGGATCATCTACCCACTTCCCTAGGCCCTTCTCCTTCAACCTTCGCCTTCATCCTATACCAAAGGGTCATCGTCTTCTTAAGAAGTGTGGGCTCGAGTTAACTCGTATCTGAGCTTAATGCCGGAGTTAGATCAGACATTAGATGATGTTGTGAGACGAGATTTGGCAAGTAATGGCTGGATGAACCTTCAAAGTGAAGAAGAGCATGTAGCACTTGAACTAGAGGACATGATTGTGGATGATTTGTTAGATGAAATAATCTTCTCTTGAGGTTTTGATTAGATCTTCTAAGCTTCAAATCAAATCTAGCAGCTTGGTTTTGTTTGACGATATCAGTCTGATATGGGAGTTTCGCAGCCTTGACACATGAACGCTCTCTTATTGTAGAAATGCTTAGAAAGATGCAAATTCGAGTGATTCTGTAGGGCTTCAATTTTTAACTGACTAGTGTCAGCATAGATGGGAAACAAAGGGGGGATTCTTTGTTCATATTCTTGTTGGTACGGTTGGTCGATGTTTTTTTGTAGAGTTTGTTATGGAGTTGTGTGTAATTTCTATGTAAATAATCTATATGATTGCTCGAGTTAAATGCTAGGATTTGTAGCCTTTTTGCCCTGTATTGGTTAAGACAAGGCCCTATTTCCAATTAAAAAAAAAAAAATACTTACACTCTTCTTTTTTTTTCCCAAAAAAAAAAAGTATAACTCTTCCAAAATCAAGCCTCATTTTTCATTTATCAATAATGAAGCTTCAATCATAGAGAAAGAAATCTGTATCATCAAATGCTAAAGCATGAATAATTGCAGTAATTAAAAAAAAAAAGTATGAATGGTCGTAAAATTTCATGTAACTAAAGTTATAATACTGAAATGAGTCATTTCATTTCATTTATACCGTCGAGTGTGTATAAAAAAATGGTAATTATATTTTATGCTATAGTATTAATAAAAGCATGATTTTTTCCCCATCTATTAATAAAAGTGTTAATGGTCTAGTAAATATATGAATTTCTTGGGAATCAAAAACTAACAGGATTTCTGCTTGGGAGAACTCTCAAAACTATAATTTTGATCCAAAAGTAAATTCGGGATCTAAAGCATTTCAAAGCAGAGTAGCCTAACAGGGTTTCAAAGATCAAAAGTAATTTTTACCTCCAAAGCCATGATTTTGATATAAACAAAATGGGGATAATAGCTTTTGAAAACATCATTTGAGCCCCAATTATGGTTAGTGGAGATATATATACAAATGTATGAGGGCAATTAAGTTATTTCCTTTAAATCCTTTTGACTAAATTAGACAGTTTAATATAACAATTAAATTAGTTAAAATAATAAATATGTAAAAATTGATGTTTATCTTTTTCGGTGTGTCCTTATTTAATAGTAAAAGGTAAATACAAGAAGGAAAGAAAGGGAAAAAAAACTTGTAATTGTGAAATCCCAATTCACGTCTCAATACTTCAAAACCCCCAAAAGAAAAAGTGATACCTAATCTAATATTTTGCAAATGTAGTTAAGTGACCAAAATACCATTGTTTTAAAATTGTCATTACTAGTAAATTTTTCGTTATTTGTTATTCAAAATTTGTCATTTTTAATTTACAACATATTTTCAATTACAACATATTAATAATAACTTGTCATTGCTAATTTATTAAACTTTTTAAAATAAGAACATTTTAATCATTTAACTATATTTGTGAAATATTAAAACAGACACAAGTTCTTCCCTGAGATTTTAATGGGTGAATGGGGATTTCACAATTTTCAGGGTTTTTTTTGTCATTTTTCCAAAGAAAAATACTAATAATAAAATAAATGATAAAACATATATTTAATATTTAATGTTTAGAATTAAGATACTTCGTGTGTCCGTCTCCCTGACCATTAAACGCCCCCGTGGCCCATCGCACGGCAAAGTTCAGAACCCTAACTCTGCATTCAGCCGCGGTTCTCTCTGTTCCGCCATTGCTGTTCCTCTGTCGTCAATACTCGCGGGCGCTGCTGCCCACCATTCATTTACATTTTTCAGGGCGTTTCGTTGGTTGATCAACCATGGACAAGAGCATGTTAGGAGACCTGGACAACCTTCCAGAGGAAGATAAGCTCAAAATGGCTGCCATGATCGATCAGCTCCAAATCCGAGACAGGTTCCTTCACTCGTACTAATATTTTCTGTGTTTTTAGCCCTTGTAATTTCACGCATTTTGTTCTTGTAAGTCCGTCTTGCTAATCGAGCTTGGGGCTCTGATATTCTGCGAAGATGGGATTTGCCAGTTTGTCGGTTTAGTTTTTTGTGCGTATATTTGCATCAAAGGTTACATGACCGTCAGATTTTGACTAGCATTCCAATTCTGGGGCTTCACAGTGACTTAGTAACTCATGAGTATCACAAAGGTCTTAATTCTTGTGGTTCTCTTCCTGTGAAGCCAGAGTGATGTTCTCCTTAAAACCAGTTCAGCAAGCCCATGTTGCACCTGGACGTTTTGGGAACAACATTTTGTTAGAGCTTTTCCTTTTTCCTTTTTATTGATCTTAGCTGTTATCAACTAGCCTTTGCTAGCGGTTGTCTGAAAGTTAAATTCTAGTCCATTGTGCCCAGTAGTCGCCTTTTCTGAGCGCTGAAGGTGCCCCGTGTTGATCCATAGAATGTACATTTTGGTTCTTGCCTTGTTTCTCACAGTACCTCTGATCAAAGGAAAAGATTAGATATTTAAACTTAGTCTACCAGCATTTCTGTCTCGTAGTTTGATTAGATTTGTCCACCAGAAATGTGACTAGTCAAATTTATTAATAATTACTCCCTCCAGTTCTAAATATGCAACTAGTAGAGGGGTTTGTTTTAGTCTTTAATCCACTTTGTTCCCAAATTTATAATTTACAACTAGTAGGGCGACAGTATAAATATAATTTGGTTATTTCTATGCTGCCATCGGGAAGTTACTCTCTCAATCTCTTGGTTGTTCATGTTGAACCATTGCTTTGGTTTGAGATTGGAGTATGATTTGCAACAACGTAATTGCAGTCTAAGAATGTACAATTCACTGGTGGAGAGATGCTTTAATGATTGTGTCGACACCTTCAAGCATAAATCCCTGCAGAAGCAAGAGGAAAGCTGTGTTCGAAGATGTGCTGAGAAGTTTCTGAAGCACTCCATGCGTGTTGGCATGAGGTTTGCAGAGCTCAATCAAGGAGCAGCTACACAAGATTGAGAACTGTAATTAAGCTACGATCTTATCAGACATGGATCACAGGCCCCTTTGAATTTACAAAAGTTAGAAACTCGGCCTTGCCTGTGATTTGCTCTTTTATAAACCGTCTTTTTTTCCCCAGGAGGTTGTTTATTTTCTGGTCAGTAATTTTGCTTGTTCAATTATGCTTTTGCTCTTTAGATATGAGGATACACTGTGGCTCTTTGAATCTCAGGGTTGCAATGTGCAATGAAAAGAAATTCGTAATGAATAAATTTTGGTTTTATGACCATTGTGCCTCATTCATGGAGATTTTGGTTAGCCCTTCTTCCTTCGATGATTATAAAAAAGAAAAGCTTACAAGAACACTTACCATCGATGAAGATAATATTGTACTGTAATAAAAAAAAAGGAAAATTGCAATTAGGTCCCATTCAAGAGAATTAAATACATAAAAATCCTTTGAAATATAAAATTATTCTGAAATTGTAAGAGATTTTTTTGCTATAAATTTTATTTGTTTAATTACTAAATTATTATTATTTTTAAATTTGCATTAACGACTGAAAGAGCAGTGGTTGACAACTTAAGGTGTAAAGATTGATAGCTATCGCAGCAGATATTGATAGCTTATGCATTACATTTTCTGATATGCTAAGAAAATATGTTGTTAATATCTGTCGTGAGAGCTGTCAATCCTTACACCTTAAGTTGTTAACTACTGTTCTTTCAGTTGTCAATGCAAACTTAAAAAAAAAAATATCATAAGAGTAATTTGTAATTAAATAAATAAAATTTATTGTAAAAAAATCTTTTAGGATTTCAGAATAATTTTATGATTTTAAGGAACTTTTTATTCTTTAATTCCCTTGGGGGGATCTAATTGTAATTTTCCCATAAAAAACTCGAAGGCAATGAGCATATGAAATAAAATAAATATGAAATTACAATAAACGTCTTACTCTTCGTTAACCCATTTATTTTACCCCCATGATGCTTGGATATACAAGTTGTATCCAAGCATCATGAGAGTAAAATAAAAGGTTAACTTTTTTTTTTTAATTTTCTTATATGATGTACATGAGAATATACCTGTATAAATTTAAATTAGCTTATTTTAAGTGATTTTATGCTTTATGAAATGTAGAGTGCGAAATAATAGAAAGGAGCTCCACTCCTAAGCGTGGAATCACTACTCAACCTTATTTGAAGTCTCCCAATAGAGATCAGTTGAAGAAATCCTGAATGGTTCACTTGACCTGGACATTCCATTCCCTCCCTCCCTCTGTGAGATCAAAGCAGTTTGGCAGTTTCCAAGTGAGTGTTCCTGAGGGTTTTCATGCAAGCTTCTTTCAGAAGCATGGGGACTAGGATTTCAGTAATCATAATATATTTACTACGGTTTCTGAACATTTCTGACTTGAGAAATACTACATCCCCCCCCCCTTTTTTTTGATGAAAAACAACCTAACCACATTAATAAAAAAATTGGTTAAAATTATTTATGAAAAGTGTAGCTTACAACTCAACCTTGTAATACCTGACATTGACATACCGAGGCTTTTAGGTTTTTATTTTCCCGGCATCCTTTTATATTTAGGTATCTGGCTTTAACTACCTCCTTCCCCTTCATATAAGGACGCGCTACAGAGAAAATCCAATGGCTGCTGGTGCTCAACCACTAATGGAGAAGACAAATGTAATTACGTAACTTGTGCAAAGGCAAAGTGACTGAGCAGAGCTTGTCCGCTTTCCACAAGCACACCACTTGTCTCCATTTCATACATGCAAATACGTGTACGTAAACACAATCAACTCATGCGCTCTTCTTCAATTGCTACTTTTCTTAATTTTATATTTTGTGGAACTTACAGGGCAGGTGAAAATATTATTTGTTTGACAGATTCTGCAACAATAATCAAATATAGCAGACGATACTCCCTTCATTGAGAAGTAAGTATTAGTATTATATGTAAAACATATTTTATATGTTCATCAATTTTTTCTAATTAACCCCCATTGATGTTTTTCAAACAATAATCAAGTAAAAAAAGAAATAAAAAAAAAAAAAATGCTTAAAATATTTTTTAAAAAACTTATTATATTAACTATTAACTAATTTAACTAATATTTTTAATCTATTTAAATTAGTTAATTATATCTCACATCAAGCACAAGAAGCACAGGAAGAAGAGTATGTTATTGCGGTGAGTTAAACAAACAAGTGCATGCCACTGATACGGATGGTTCGGGACACGGCAGTGGTGGCACTGATTATTGCCCGTCTACTTGAAAATGATAAGATTTTTTCAATGGGAATGTATTTTGGAGAATAAGATAGAAAATGCTTCTCAATGATACCAAACGAGTCTCTTGTCATTCTTTTCTTTCCCTTTTCTTCGGCTTTGCAATCTTTACCTTCAGACCAACCACAAGGCAAGATGCCAGTCTAAGGGACCTCAAACTAAAATAACAAAATTGAAACTTGCAACTATCAACATTGCAATCTAACCAACAAATGCTTGGGACTTGTTCAGGATCACTCCTTCGTATTTCACTTGGAACCACTTCATTGCATCCTCCTTTGTGACTCGGTGCTGGATCCCAACACGAGACTTGCACCTGCGGCGACGTCCCACACGGTATCCAGGGCGCTCCAGAACAACATAGAAGTCCATTCCATAGATACCAGTAGATGGATCGTATCTGAAGTAGAGTAGCCAATTTTCAATACACAATACATAACAGTTTTGAAGATTGAAGAAAGAAACTAAATTCAGTTTATACTGCAAAGATGGAAGGATTTATGCACACAGCCAACGGACAGAAACCGGCTTTATTTAAATAACAGGGGAAAACTTCATGGAACTGAAGCTCAGAATTTCATAAAAGAAAAACTAATTAGCCAATAAAAAGTTAAAAACAAAAAATAAGGTTAAACCACACCCTGTAGAAACTTTACATGCCATTGCCCATGAGACATAGTTCAACAGATAAAACACAAAGCAGATGACAAAAATACTGCAATCTAAAGAGATTTTCAGCTTACTTGATCCCCAAATCAATATGCTCCTGAATGCCAAAGCCAAAACATCCAGTATCACTGAAGTTTCTTCTCAGCAGTTCATATTCCTTCACCTTCAGACCACTCTCCAAAAGCTGCATTGCCTTGTCACCCCTAACAGTGACATAGCATGCAATCTTTTCATTCCTTCTAATACCGAAGGAACGAACAGTATACCTTGCTGTCCAAAAGCAGACACGAAGAATGAGACTAACCAACAAGAGAGTGCAGCGAGCGTGAACAATAAATCCAAAGAACACTAATTTCAATCGCTGGAAATACCTGAAATGAAACCAATCATACATCTTTCTTTCGAGGTTTTAAGGATAAAATATGAACACATATAAGAGAACAGTCTTGAAGATATCATAATCAGAAGTCATTAATTTTTATTAGCACTTGAAATCCTTACTGCTCGAGTTCCGGATCTAAAATACAAATTTATCAGGTGATGTAAATAACAGGTGAAAAATGCGTCACTCAAATACTGAAGACTCGAGTGGCTACTCCGCTAGTATTTTTGCTTTAAGGCACATTTAGCATTCAACCAAAAACATATGCCAATATTTTTACAGAAAAAAGTCAAAAACCATGCCAAAATTCCTTAACATTATCATCAATGTGTAATAAGGACTCATGCATTACCATCAGAATGGTGGCAAGTTCTACAATTTGAGGTCAAACCATAAGATTTTTTTCACAAAGAAAATGGTAAGAAATATCACAGGGGCAGAGCCAAGCGAAGCATAGCAAGGGTCCAAAATTCACCTTTGGAGAAAACTGGGGTCTGACCACTAAGCTGCTCCAACACCTATTACCGAAAAGGGTCATTCGAATCAAAGGTCAATGGAGCCAAAAGAGAAAAAGGAAGGACCATTTACAATACGTGATGAATAAATACCTTAGCCGCTCTGGTGAGACGATCTCCACTCTCGCCCACTGAGATATTGAGAACGAGCTTCTGGACCTTTATTTCCCTCATAGGGTTCGCCAGCTTCTTCTCTGAAGCCTGCTCAACAAGCATTCCAGATCACTCAAAAGCAGAAAATGACTCAGTCATGAAACGAAAAAGAGTGAGAAGAAGAGTGAGCGGATGAACAACATGCGTACCATTGGAAGGGAACCTGAGCGAAGATTTGCAGCGGCAGATGCAAGGAAGAAAGAATGAAACGAGAAGCACTTATACGGAGTAAGAAGGTGACGGCGCTAGGGTTTTCATAGAACGAAGCATTATTAGAAAAAAAACAAAACAGTTTTAGGGCCTTCGCTTTTTGTTAGCCCATGTATTTTTTAATTTAATTTTAATTCAATCTCACAAATTGTTTAAACTTTATTTTTATATTTTGATATATTGTGCGTTTGAATTTTATTTTTTTACCGTAAATTAATTTTATTCATTAGGCTTCAAGGTAAGAATTTTATTTATTCACTGAAGAATGAAATAAAGTTTTTGAGTTATATATTTTAATTTGATATTATAAAAAAATGAAAACACTTGAACTTGGGAAAACATTTTTTTATATTAAAATCTATGAAAAGAGGGAATCTTCTAAATTAAAAAAAAATTAAAGGGATTATATTTATAACAAATGTCACGGGAGACCGAGATCAGCATTCATTCATTTGATATATGGACTTTAAAACAAGGAAGTTGATTTTAAAATAAAAGAATTACAATGACGTCTTAAGAAAAGAAAATAATTGTTTGTAATTTTAATAATAAGTGAGTAGTCATTATTTAATATTATGAAACTTGTTATTGTAGGTTACTCTATTACATTAGGATTTTTTTTTATAATTACATTCCTTACTCAAGATTTCATAATTATTCTCCTTTTAAAACCATATCCTTACTATTCTTAGACTTAGGACTTTTATCTTTCCGTTGGTTTTCTTTTTAACCTTTGTACTTTAATTTTAGGGTTAATATAATCTTTGATCTTTCAAATTTATCCTTATTTTGATTTTGGTCCTTCAAATTTATTTTCATTTATAACATTAATCCTTATAATCTAATAAAAACTTGGACTAATTTGCCCCTTTGAAGGACCAAAACTAAAATGAGGATAACTTGA